GATGATAGATGATAGATGATAGATGATAGATGATAGATGATAGATGATAGATGATAGATGATAGATGATAGATGATAGATAGATGATAGATAGATAGATAGATAGATAGATAGATAGATAGATAGATAGATAGATGAAAGAATTCTTTTTACTAGGTAGTAACCATAAAACTCTTTATTAGGTCTACCATCAATGAAGCACTAACTCCTCATGTCCAAATGTCCTTCAGAAAGTTCATCTATCAAGAAAACAACAACAAAAAACCCTAAAAAAGGTTTGCCTAAACATTTAACAGAGAAAACTCCCTACCTACGTTTGAAAACATCCTGTGTTCAATTATGAGACAATATTAGCCATTATTTATTGGGAAGTTTCACAACTGCTGCAGCTATCATAAAATGGAACCTCCATTCCAGCTAATTGCATGACTGCCATATTTCCTTGAATGCGGCATTTAATGATAGCTGAGGTAATTGTTTTCAGCAATCGTCTCTCAGGACCTCTCTAAAAAGCTTGATATTTGAGGATTTTCACAGTAGCAATTCCGAGTCAAAGCCATTGCCGTGGCAATATATTACTAATGCAGACAATGCCATCTATCACCACAGCAGTGGCTGCCTGTCACTATCAATCATGGGTGTGGAAATTCTTATTTAAAACCATAACACAGCGAAAAATATGATCGTACGGGACATTAAAAAGGAAATAGGACAAAAGGTTCACCCAAACTGATTTAAAGAAATGCCAGAACGAAGAAATACGTCTTAAATAAGGATTGGAAGATTACCGGCTTTAGCACACAACCCAACTGAACCGGGAAGGAATTTCACAGTTGGGCAACTTGTACTGGAAATGATCTCTCTCCCATTTTTGTATATATGTTCAGGGAGATATTTTGAGGACAGAACAGAATAATGAAGTTGGAAGAAACCTTGGAGATCCCCTCGTCCAGGAGGTCCCCTCCTGCTCAAGCAGGAGACTCCATACCATTTGTGACTGTCCTATTTAAAGGGAGGGGGGCAGCGTGGGTGTGGCCAGCCTATTTGCCAGTTCTAACTTAAAATTTCCACTACCAGTTCTCCAGAACCTGTCAGAACTGGCTGAATATCACCTCTGGTATTGTCCCCCTAAGGAGATACAACTGGCAGGACTCAGAAGAAGGGCCTTCTTCTGGAAGAGAAGAAAAGAAAGAAAAAGAAAAGAAAGAAAAAGAAAAGAAAGAAAAGGGAAGGGAAGAGAGGAATGGAATGGAAGGGAGGAGAGGAGTGAAGGGAAGGGAAGAGAAGAGTAGAGAGGAGAGGAGAGAGATGGAATGGAAGGGAGGAGTGGAGGGAAAGGAAGGGAAGAGAAGAGAGGAATGGAATGGAAGGGAGGAGAGGAGTGAAGAGAAGAGAGGAATGGAATGGAGGAGAGGAAGGAAGGGAAGAGAAGAGAAGAGAGGAATGGAATGGAGAAGAGGAGGGAAGGNTCTGGAGCCTTCAGGGAAGGCCCCTGAAGCCTCCGGAGGGCAAAAAACCGGCCCTATGGGCAAACCAAAAGTTCAGGAATGAACTTCCAGTTTGCTCATAGGGCCAGTTTTAGCCCTCCGGAGGCTTCAGGGGCCTTCCCTGAAGGCTCCAGAGGGCAAAAAAATGACCCTACTGGCAAACCGGAAGTTCAGGAACGTACTTCCATTTTGCTTGTAGGGTTATTTTTTGCCCTCCAGAGCCTTCAGGGAAGCCTCATGAAGGCTCATGAAGGCTCCGGAGGGCTACAAACGGCCCTTCGAGCAACCCGGAAATATGTTGCTGAATTTCCGGTTTGCCCATAGGAGCGGTTTTTTGCTCTCTGGAGGCTTCAGGGAAGCTCCTGAAACCTCCGGGGGGTGAAAAATGGCCTTAAAAGAAGGCCAAAGTCAGCTGACCAGCATTGCGCGCTGGCCAGCTGACTGGGCAATGCCTTGCGTGCCCAGACAAATGGCTTTGGGTGCCACCTGTGCCACACATGACATAGGTTCACCATCATGGGTCTAAGCCATCCAACATATTGATTGAGAAGTGTAAAATGACCGTTTGGTCCTGCATCCAATGTTATCTGAATGATTTTCCATTTCCGTAAGCACTGTTGGGAATCAAGTGACATATAAATTTGATAAATACATAAGTTAGGAATTTTCTTTATCTTCTTTTCTGATATTTGCTCTGGAGAAGTTTTCAATCTTTTGAATCAGATATGAAAATTGCAGAGAAAAGTGGGAAAATCAGCAATGTTCAATTGCTAATCGCTTAGTGCAGGGGTATCAAACTCAAGGCCTGTGGGATGGATCCAGCCCACGGGATGCTTAGATCTGGTCTATGCGCCACCCTGAAAACAGCGAAGGACTGGCCCACGATGCCTTTGCCAGCAAAAACCAAGCTCAAGGGGCTCACACGGCCCTCGCGAGGTCCGTTTTTAGCCACAATGGCCTCCTCCTGTTTTCCTGGCAGTGAAAATGGAGCTCAGGAGGGCCATGTACAGCCCTCCCAAGCTCTGTTTTCACTGGCAGGGGGTTGCAGGAGGTTGTCACAGTCAAATATGAGCTTGGGAGCCTGTTTTCACTGGCATAGCGCTTGGGCCACCACAGGGCACCCCTGACATAAGTGATGTCAGACCGGCCATGGCCACCCTGGCCATACCCACCCCAGCTTTCCGAGGTCAAACACAATTCTGATGCGGCCCTGAATGAAATTGAGTTTGATACCCCTAGGTTAGTGCTAACTAAGTGCCAACCATATCCCTAAAATGAGCACTTGATGCAAAATAGTTTTAAACATGTAATACATTTAAATGTAGAAATAAAAATATCTACCACCAAGTGGTTTTTCTGCCAAAGATTTCCTTTAGTTTCTTTTTTAATAAAACTTTTATCAAACAATCTTACTTGAAATATTCTTCACTGCCACTGACAAAAGTCTTGTTGCTGACATGGCTGGTATAATTGACCATTGTCAAGTTTGGATAGGCACTCATACAGGAAGTAGAGTTCTTTATTTGCAACGTGGGATGATCACCAATGATACAGGAATCTGATAAAAGAAACAAATCAAAAGATTACTGTTGTGGACCAAATTATATGCAATGACTGTCAGGGAATCATAATTAAGAAACTACATTTTATGGTGAAAATATATTTCAGTTCACACATGTATATGTAGTACCTGAGTTAAATTACAGCTGGAATGAAAATTTACATTGCTAAGCAAGGAGGTTGTTAAGGGAGTCACACCAGAGGTGAAATTCAGCAGGTTCTGACAGGTCCTGGCGAACTGGCAAATACCATCTCTGGTTGGCCCCAGAGTGGGATGGGAATAGAGATTTTGCAGTATCCTTCCCCTGCCATGCCCACCAAGCCACGCCCACAGAATCGGTAGCAAAAAAAGTGAATTTCACCACTGAGTCACACCCAATAGTTACAAACTTTTTTTTTTTGCCAAAACACTGTAGTTGCACAGTGTATTACTATTACAGGGTTGTTAAGCAAATCAATGACTTGTCAGAAACAGGTTGCAAATGGTGATACATGATCCCAGGATGGTACAACAGTCAACGAGATATATGCTAGTTGCCAAGTGCCTGAATTTTGATCACATGACTGTGGGTATGTTGGGACAGTTCTAACTGTGATGACCATAATTCACTTTTTTCAGTTCAGTTGTAATTTCAAATTGTTGCTAAACTAACGGTTGTAAATCAAGGATTACCTTATTTGTATATAAATACAATCTCATGATCATAACAACTCTCTTAACTATTTTGATCCACCTGTGCCTGCACTTTTGGTAGTGCCCCTACCCTGGGAAATAGCTCCCACCCCCAGAAGTTAGTTTGGTGTGAACTTTGCCAAACTTATCAAAATAAAGTCGTTCTGTAGGGCTTCTGGAAGTTAATATTATCAATATTTGGGTAAATGCCTATAGTTACAGTAATATTTTTTAAAGTTTATTTGAAATGTTTTTATCATGTTGTAATTTTTATAGTATTGAATAACATAATTTTAAACTGAAAAAAATTACACAATTTAGTTATATACATATTTAATAAATAAATGCAAAGTTCCAAATAAGCAACCTGTGTTTTATTAATCACCAATCTGGTTCAAAACTGATTATTTATTTTACATTGCACTTAATAAAAAAAGTTTATTGTACAGTTTAATTAAATAATTAAAAGTTAGCAGAATCATAAGACAAAGTAAAATGTATTAAATCATATAGTTGATTTAAATTAGCATAGTTAATTCCCTTTATAAAAGCCGTCCAGAATTGCTATATCAGTCAGCTGAATGACATAGAAATTTAATGAATAAAATAAATACATATAATTTTGGTACGTTTCAAAAAAGCAATAAAATACAAATTAACATAAAAGAAAAAGGGGGAGTAAAAAAGAAAATTTAAAAGGCAACCAAAATACATAAAATAAATTTATATAAAAATTGACCTCCAACTTTCTTCAATAGAGAGACAATTGAATTACAAGAAGGCCTCTATTAACTTTAAGTAAATAATATCAATACCTTAAAACGTTTTTAATATGAATAACCAATATTTGAAAAATATTCATATAGTCTTACTTTAACTTTAATTTAACGTATGAAAACCTATTAACTATAAATAAATCATAGTTACATAGTTGACAGTACAGTGGAATCTTTATAAAAACATAATACAGGAGCAGACATGCTCTCTTCATTCTGTTTTTTAAAGCCCTTTTTTTTCTTTTTTCCAGCAGTAACTCCTGTATATTAATAATTGCAGAATTTCAGCAGATTCAGCTTAAGTCAGTGTACTACATGCCACAAAATGATGCAATTGCAAAAATGCTCCAATGAACAAAATTATTAAAATGGTTATATTTGTTATATTTTATAATACCGTATCTTAGCACATTTAACCTTTTTTAATAAAATTCGCAAAACTATCCCTTAGTTAAAATTACTAGGAAATTACTAGGAAAAATTATCAATGCAGGAAGCACAAAACTAGGAAACTACTATATCCTTGTTGTGAAGTCAGATATTTATATGTCCACCATTTTCAAATTCTGGTATGTAATTGCTATTACAAAGTTCAAACTTTTTTTACAAATGACATATAAATAATTTTGGTGTTATATCTCAAACTACCAGCAGAGGGTAGAATAGTTGTATGTTATCCTTCCACAGTTCTTTTTCTTTTTTTAATGTTTCCTATATTTATTTGGGGGTTAAATACTTTTTTTAAATTGCAAATGTTTTTGTATTTGATTTTACATGTCTTATGTTATAGTTCCTCTAAATAAATAGCTGCTTCTTACTTTCTAAGCAGCATACTTTTATTTATATTCCAACCAGCCTTCCTTCCTTTGAGGATTTATATAGTACACGAGCCAGAAAGAGGGCTAAGAAAATATCCAAAATTGAGATAGAATCCCAATCCAATTGCAAATTCTGGGGAAGGGATTACCAATGCTACCAAATTTCCAAATCACAAAAAACTATATTTAATTAAAATTTGAGATGTATTTATTGAATATGCTGTTGAATGCATATTTGTAAGACTTAATAAATAGCACCTTAAAATTATTGCACTGGTTCTCAGTCATCAAAAAACTATAAAACAATGGAATGCTATGTATAATCTACTCAAGAGAATTTCTCATTCAGTGTAATGCGATTTACTCACTGGTAAATGTGCCATAATGTGCACACATAGGACATTTGTATTTATGGAACCAGGTCAGGGGTGGGTTTCAACTGGTTCGTGGCGGTCCCCGCGAACTGGTTGGTCGGCGAACCCGGAAGTAAGTAACTTCCGGGAACGGCGAAGGGCCCGTCCGCCCATCCGCCCTCCTTACCGGTCTTTGATGGCTTCTGCTCTACCACGCAGAAGCAAGGCACATACAGCACCTGCGCGAGTCTCTGCGAGCAGCTGGAGCATCGCGCAGGTGCTAAGATGCATGCGTGAACTGCGCACGTGCACGAGGACGCCGCCGGCCCCGTTCCAACCGAACCGGTTGGAACGGGATTAGCAACCCACCCCTGGATGGAGGGAAGGTCTTCTGCAGCTGCTGAAAGAATCAAAGACATCCTGCTAATTGAAAGAGCTCCTATATTT